AAATATGTGGAATGATAATATTAACATGGATTATATTGAAATTGTTTGTAGTGATGTGGATTTGATTGAATCAAAGAGGAATCGTGTAGTCTGATACAGGTGAAACTGTCCTTATTTCTTCAGAAAGGCACATACTTCCTCTCGACAGCTTTCTTCCATATCATATGGAATAGTTCCATCACTACAGTTCTTCTTGAATGAGATAGTAGCATCTTGGTTACAGGACCACCTCTGTGGTCTAGTGGTCAGAGTTCCTGGCTACAGGTTCAAAGGTCCCGGGTTCGATTTCCGGCGCTGCCAGATTTTCTAGAAGTAATGGGTCTGGAACGGAGTCCATTCAGCCTTGTGAGGATAATTGAGGAGCTATTTCAAGGAAATAGCAGCTCCAGTCTAGAAAAGCGAGATTAACGGCCATGGGGATCAGTTGCACTGACCATGCAATAGCCTCTATCCGCTAAAGTTGGCACTAACTTCGCCAACATGTGGCGGTCACTTGGTCGGTATAGTTCACTTGCGGACTACAGGCCACGGAGTTTATCTCAGTTACAGACATAATGATTGTACTGCTATGATTGTCATCAGGGACTCATTTTTGAAAATGACATGCTACATGTAAGGATGAGAATGACATTGAGGTAGGAGGGACAATACTCGTATGTTGTGTATCCTTTCTTTTACAACCCACTCACATACTTCAGAAGGTGATAATCAGGCCATTTTGTTGTTGCTTGTAATGCAGTACTATCACCTATTATCTAAAGCAGGTTCATTTGCATGAGACTCACTTGCTTAGTTGTTTAATGTAAGTTAGCAGAGTTAAAGAAAAAACTGTATAACTTACCAGAATTCTATGAATCAATTATATGGCATTCTTCTGTGGTAAGTGTAAATTATATTTCTCATTCATAGCATGACGTTCTTCTTTTAATGTATTTTACATTCTTATTTCAACTGCAGGAAAATTCAAGTCTAATAACACCATAAATGCATTCCGTGCTGAGTTGCTCGCTGGAACACAGGCTGTCTCCCAGCCAACTGAGGTTTGTAGTAATTTATAAGAAATAACAATAAAATAGTACTTTAAGCATATGTATCTTTAAGGATAAATAATAATGCAAGTGCAGTATGCAGCAGTAAAAGGCAACAGCAAAGTAGATTCTATGCATTAAGACCATGACATGAAGCTATATAAGGAAATGGAGTTAAAGCTGCCCTCATTCTAAACCTTGGCAGTAGGTGGAGTAGAGTCCTCAGTTATACACCGTAACTGCTTTACCCCTGTGGAAAGAGACTTCATTATCTAGTGTATAGAGGGCTGAGATAATAAGTTACAAAATGGTACTGGGTTAGTTGAGTTGTATTTTCTCTCTGCATTTACTATAGAAAATACTGCAACCATAACAACAATTGTGAACATGTAAACAAACTGTATTTATTCAAGGAAATAGAGTCATAAAAGACTGAGTTCATAAGTAAAGCAAGGTTAAACAAGAACACTGGATAAAGGATTAGGATATAACTACAATGCTGAAAAATGGATGACAATTTAGTTTTTGACTTTGGAGCACACTGTGGATAGTCTGAAGCTTAAGAAATAAGTTTTCTGAAGGCCATCTGTTTTGATAGGATATCAGTGCATACCCTATGAACATAATTTGATTTATATGTGGCACACAACATTGTGTATACATACTATGTTTATAAACTAGATATCTTCAGAAGGAGGTTCTGGAGGGAGAACACATACATTCATGCAAGAAGTAACTTCAAGTAGACCCATCAAGCAACTTGTTGTATCAGCCGTTTCAAAGGAAGTACGTTTGCCAGAAAATGAGGTTACATTATCAGCCTTCACTGTCCCTGCAGAACAACCAGGTATATAATTTTTCTAGGGACTTCTTTGGGGTTATTAACCATTCAAGAATATGTCATGTTTTGAGGTGTCCTGTAATTAAACTAAATAAGTTTGAAACTTGCAGAGGTGGTAAGGTGAAAAGTGGGCCATGCACAGATATTTTTATCTGTGGACTTTAAACCATTGTAGAGAAACCTGTGGTTAAAATCTGTGACAGATCAAAACTGTCACTGGCCACTGATGCATAAAGGAAGCTGGAGATTAAGGCATATAATTAATATGCTGCAGATAAAACTGTGTATTTGTGGGTGTAAACCATTGAGAACTCTGTGGTATCTGGACTAAACTCTTTTGCCTCAGCAAAGAACTTGACCCACATTTTTTTTTTTTTTACCAACAGGATAACAGGGCAGAAAACTGTTAGTGAAATAATAATAGAAAATGGAAGAAAATTTTTGGATATGCATTGTTTCCATACCATATACTTATGGAATATCTTAAAAATTAGGTATGTGAAGGGTGCTCAAATTTTAATGGTGTTGTTGATGTACAGTTAGTACATGGGTCAGGGACATATGACACAGGCTAGCTGATTGAGCCTGTCAGAATGATGCTGACAAAAGTTGTAGACAATAATGAAATGAATATTATATATTATATACATTTTCTTCATTTAATATATTTTATATAAGTATATATAAAAAGACAATAGCTATCAAATAGTAAGTGAACTTCATGAGTTGCATCTATTTTATATGTGCTGTATACTTAACTCCATGGAGCTCAGCGCTTCTTGAGAAGCTGCCAGCTGTGCAGCTACTCAAGAATTTCCCAATATTTTATAAAATGTGAAGGTTCATTACTGTGTCCAGAAGTGCCCTCCATTGGTTCCTATCCTGAGCCAGACGAATCGAGTCCATACCACAAACAACCTGTCTCTCTAAGATCCATCTTATTATCCTCCCACCCATGTCTAGGTCTTCTTAGTGACTTTTTCCTTCTGATCTTCCCAAAAATCCAATGTACATTCTTCTTCTCTGCCTCCCCCATTCGTGCTACATGCCCTCCCCATGGCATCCTCCTTGACTTGGTCACTCTAATTATACATGGCAAAGAGTACAAATTATGAAGCTCCTCATTATGCAGTTTTCTCCAACCTCGTACCACTTCAACCGTTTTTGGTCCAAATATTCTCCTTAGCACCCTGTTCTCTAATACCCTGAGTCTGTGTTCAACCCTTAATGTCAGAGACCCGTATGAAACCACAGCCAAAATTTATAGTTCTGTATATTCTAATTTTTGTGTTATCTACTTAGAAAATTTTATCTTATAATAGCTTTGTTTGCGTATGTTGAGGTGAACACTACAAATATGAATGGACATTCCTGGCGCAACCTGAGGGAGTCAACAGTGGCATCATGAATGATCAGAATGGCGAGACACTGAAACTAAGTCACCTCATTGAAGGGCTATACATGTTTAAAGTTAGTGTGTCTGCACCGGGAGCATATGGTGAGACATATGCAAATGTAACCGTGCTGCCACGTAAGTATCACCGGTCTACTTCTCCTCTTCCCCATCAGCATTGTTTCCATTTCCAGACTGATGGCTGGAAAGTCTCCAGTCTTTCATCCCAGTTTCTTGCTAGCTTTTTCTGCTCTCCTTGATGTCTTCCAGCAGCTGGTCAGACTCTCTTGCCCTGGATAATCCCATGGATCTCTTTCCCTTAAATATTAATTCCAATGGCCCTCTAGGTATCCATGTTCTATCCATTTATTTTAAAAGCCCAAATCGTAATTTTTTCCATTTTCACTCTATAACCTAATTTTGAATTCCAGCTTGTGTACAAATTTCATTTCCAATTCAGTTTCCTCTTCTTCTTCCAACAGTACTTCTCAAAATTTTTGAAATCATAGCTTTCATTTTGTTTTTCTGTCACTTTGTATCATTGTTATGAAGTAGATACATACAAGGTGTGGCAATANTATCTGTGAAGAGGTATTTGGCAAAAAACAACATTCCAGTGATGGAACATCCACCGTATTCTCCGGACCTAGCACCGTGCGACTTTTTTCTCTTCCCAAAAATCAAGTCTGCGCTGAAAGGGACCAGGTTCGAGTCCGTGGATGCAGTGAAAGCAAAAGCGACGCAACTCTTGAAGAGCATAACACAAGATGACCTGCAGCACTGCTTCCAACAGTGGAAAATTCGCATGGAGCGGTGTAGGGATCGGGGAGGGGACTACATTGAAGGGGATAACATTTCGACTGTCTGATTTTTTTTAATAAAGGGTTAGAGCATGAATCCGGTTTCTTTATTGCCACACCTGCTGTACATTTAGACCAGAAGTCATACCATTAGTGTAGTTTTTATTACTACCTTGTATACAGTTTCTAATTTGTGAATATTTCCTTTTAAATTATGGCTGATAAATACTTTTTAAGCTTTGGCACATATCTACATTGATGACAAATGTCTGCCTGAAACTTTCAGAGCCATAACATGGCCATAAGCCTAGGACTTTGTAGACTTGACAAAATGTGTGCTAAATTTCTTTCACAAATTAACAATCTTGATTGAACACACTGACATACTTTGACAGGTGTGAAACATGAGCCTGTTCAAGTTGTTGCCACGTGTTGGGTATGTCATCGACAAATAACTGTATGTGGGTCTCGGATTTAGTGAATCTTTATTGGACATTCTCTCTTACACACTGTACAATTGTTATCACTTGCAGTGTCACTTGACTTCTGGCCCAATACTCTAATGCGACGTCTCAACTATCCTTGGCCATGGTTAGATCTCAACTGTCTCTGGCAGTGGCTATCCCAAGACTGACTTCTTACTGTCTTTTGTCTGTCTTCTTCTATATCATCTAGGTTCAAACTAACTTGGCAAATGCCTTCAACCCTTTTTATAACTTTGGCCGCTGCTATGCAATGAACTCTCGTTATAACCGTGGAGACATCTCCGGGGAGATTTGGCGTTCTCTACGCAACAGCTCACTGTTGGGATTACAATACCGCTATTGTTACTTCCGATGCAACGGTCTGTTCTGGCATTTCCATGGAAGTAACACTTCTGGATTCCAAACATGTGACATGTCAGTGCTTGTTGTGTCACAGCATTGGCTTTTTGTTCTTCCTGTCTCCAGACTAAACATGTAAAGAATGAAGTATATGAAACTATAGTTTTACTTGTTATTTTGTGTGGGTGTGAAATTTGGTCTCACCTTAAGAGAGGAACAGATATAAGTGTGCTTGAGGGAACACAATACTGAAGAGAATACTGAATCTGAAAGAAGAGAATTAAGAGGAGACTGGATAAAATTGCATATTGAGATTCATAATTATGGTTTTACCAAATATTATTCAGGTGATGAAATCAGTGAGGCTGAGATGAATAGGGAATGTAGCATGAATGGGAAAGATGAGGGATGCTCACATTTGGCTTGAAAATGTGAAGGCAAAAGATCATTTGGGAGATCTAGACATGGTTGAAATGATAATATTAAAGTGAATCTTAAAGACAAAATGTATGAGGATGTCAGTTGGATTGATGTGGCTCAGGATAGGATCTTGTGAAGATGGTAATGAACCTTTAGCTGCAATAAAATGTAAGGACATAGCCGAGCAACTATTAGCTTTTCAAGAACGATAGGAGTTTTGAGGTTTCCGCTGCAGCGATTGTTCTAGGTTGTGACACCATGTGGTCTTTTAGGCATCTGCCAGCACTTTGAAGAAGCATACTGTCTGTTTCTTCAAAGCTGAAAGCCGCATGTTCCTCTGAAATGTCAATTTCCACCTACATAACTACACAGTGTCAACCCAGGAGACCATAATGTGAATTCTCAGTGAGGTCTCTGTTCCAGTGTCTTAGTTTGTTAGCTAGTTAGTTAGGTTGTATTGTGTTAGCTACTTTCAAAGCCATGGTAAACCTGTATGGGCATTTTGTGATAATTTTGAGGAACTATTTTTGTACTCCTTGAATCAGTCTAAATACTGTACCAGTGAGTTAATATCATTCATTACAAATCGTGTTTTTTGGTCCCTTCCAACTGACAATTTTATAAATCTTTATTATGGGATTATTATGTGAATTTCAACATTTTAAGTCATAAAAGCATTCATTCATCCTGTCTGGCCTTCCAATTCACAGCCATCTAGAAGAACTGTAATGGTATAATATCTTTTAGAAGACCAATTTTATCTGGTAACAGAATCTTATGCAATACTGTACTGTGCCATAAAGGGCTTATAGTTTATTTTTTATGTTATGAAGCTCACAGAGATAGGCAGGAATGTGAATGGGTAATTTGAACCAATGAAATTCATATCTTGACTTTATACAATACAAAATGAGTAATTTTATAGCATGCCAGTTACTGCATAAATTTAAGATAAGGTAGCAGTCAAATGTTTCTGTAACTTGTACAGCGAAGCACATCAACAAACCCCCAGTTGTTGTGATTACCCCATCAACGCAGACAGTGAAGCTCCCAAACACTGGGGCTGTTCTGGATGGCTCTAGTAGTAGTGATGATGATAAAATTGTGAGCTGGCACTGGGAACTGCAGCAGGGGCCTCTAGGCTACCAGCCTCATTTGCAAGACACATCCACACTTCAGCTTGACAATCTGGTGGTTCCTGGAAACTACACTTTCAAGTGAGTAAATTAGAAAGTACACATTTTGATGGAGTTAATTTTTCCAAAATACTGTCTATATTAGAATAAGATGTAAATTACCAAATATATCTAGTTTATTTCCTTGTGTTGATTAGATGTTAAAACCCCGACATGTTTGGGTCATACAAGACCATCTTCAGGGGTGTAATAAAGGTAAGGTAAAGCTATCCCTGTTAACAGGCCATTGAGGCCCACAGGGTTGTGAGATGTCAAGGCTTCCACATCTTCTAGAAAGTCGGCTCACAAAGGGTGAAAAGGTTGTCGGCTTTATGCACTGGCCACCCTTTACCCCCCAGGAAGATTCCTCGTACTTAATTCTGTTAGAGGCTGGGTCGACCCCAGGGCCATAGTGAGAATGGAAGGATTAGGTCCACTGAAAAATCTAGTGACCTCATGAGGAATTGTTCCTGTGACCTACCAGCTTGGAGCATAGTGCCTCAACCAACTATGCTGCCGTGTGCCCCTCTTCAGGGGGTGTACCATATTAAAAGGAAACTTTACAATTCATACATATAGAAATAATGGATTTAAATTATCCAAGTCATAAATTTGTTATAGATGACTAAAACAGGCAAAAACAGTTCAACACTTCACCCAAAAAGAACCACAACAAAACTGCAGAGCTCCATCTCTTCAACGCCTAAAACACAAGTATGAGACAGCAACATACAACACAGTAATAAACTTAACTGCAATAACTATGGCCTATATCTATGAATTTGACCATAATATTAGTTTTAGCCTTTCATAAGAAAATTTATGACTCAGATATTTTAATCCTTTATTTTTATATACAGGAATTGTACGTTTCCTTTTAATATGGTACACCCTTTGAAAATGGTCTTGTATGACTGAAACATGTCAGGGGTTTTAACAACATGTATTCAATACAAGCAAATTAACTAGATATAGCTAGATGGTGTTTCACATCTTATTCCAAAAAGTGAAAAGCTGGGATACCCTTTAGTGACATGCTGTAATATCAGGTTTCATGAAGATTAATCATTTGATTTGAAAGTTGTTGGTGAGACCATAAATCTGTCATTCATTATGAAATGAGAAATGTGGGCTATAAATGAAGTTTCAAGTATTGATTTAAGCATAGAATTGGAAAGTGCTGTGTGGAGCAGGTACAACAGAACAGTCTGGGTCTAGTACAACAGCACAAACTCTATTCATTTTCATTGCATCATTCATGATATCATGAATCTGTTTGATTCAGGTTGACTGTTGAAGATTCACACCATGCAACTAACTCCACAACTGCAAACATAACAGTTCTAAAAGTGACAGATTACCCTCCTGAAGCAAATGCAGGACAAGACACCATTATATACCTTCCACACAACAATCTGACACTGAGTGGCATTCTAAGCACAGATGACAGAGGTATTTTTAGCTGGGAATGGACTAAAAGTCCGTCTGATCAGGATAAAGCTGTTGACATGCAGGTACAGTGCTGCTTATATCTTGAGCAAGTTGTTATATCATTGCAAACACTGAAATTTACAGCTCATCATCCTCACCTATACCATGTGCATTTCCACTCTCTTCGGTCTTCACATACAGCTTACATTTGTCTCCATATTATTATTAACTATATATTAGCTGTTTGCTCTTAACTCTCAACTAATGTGAACTATTAACTATATACTATTAATTACTGATATCTCTGTATCTACATGAGCCCTTGAGTTTGATTTAATTTCTGTGTTTGAAGCTGCTTCTAGTATTCACTCATTATCCTTATATCTCTGATAAGCGGCCTCCATAGTCTAAGGGTAACGTTCCCACCTCATGACTCAAGGTATGCGGGTTCAAACCTGGCGGAGGTCGTGGAATTTTTAAGGGCGGAAAAATTCAGGGAACAACTCCTCCGGGAGGGACTTTAAGCCGTGGGTCCTGTGTCATAGATTTACGGCACATAAAAGATCCTCATGTCTCTACGAGACCTCTGAGCAAAATTAGGCAAAATGTTTCCCGTCCAAGTAGTTTCCAATGCCTCCGGTAGATGGGGAAGTTATCGGGTACCAAAGCCCGTAGAGGTCCGACCTCGCTGGCAGAAAGGGGAGTGTTATCGGGTACCACTGCCAGTAGAGGGCCAACCTCGCTGGCTGAGAGGGGAGATAGCGGGTACCAGTATCGGTAGGGTATGGCGACAGTATAAATTAAAGGGGGACGTACAATAGACTATTAGTCACGGTGCATGGGGAAGCCCACCCCCTCTATACTGAATAACTGAATATATCTCTGATATCCAAACTATGTGAATTTCGATATCTGCAGTACTTCCAGTGAAGCTCTTCCTCCATAACAGCCTGACTCCTTATTCTGTATCTTCTGGTTATGCTTAATCTGGCTTTATATCTCTTATTGTGTGATAGATGGTTGTAATAATGCAGTAGGTTAATGATTACTTGAGGTTTGATTATGTCACATTTCTTGTAACAGAAACATGTCATGAAATGTGTATCATTTTTTGTAGAACACACGGACACCATATCTCCAGCTCTCAAACTTAGAGGAGGGAATGTACACATTTGTTCTTAAGGTTACTGACACCTCTGGGCAGTCTTCCTCAGCAGAGGTCCATGTCTTCGTGAAGCCACCCACAAACAAACCTCCAGCTGGTATGTGGTGAGCCATCCACTTTTCCATTGATTGTATGGCCTTGCTTTTGGAACATCAAAATAAACATTCATATACAGTTAGTTACACACAAATGTTGAGAGTGAAAGAGAGTTGAGTCACTTAGATTGCTGCACTGTTATAATATTTTGTTCCTGTGTGTAAGTATAGACATGAAATGTGTGTATTAATTTGTTACCCCCTTTGAAGAACAGTGGAGATGTAATATAAAGCCTGGTTCATTGTTTGAATCCAGTCTTAAGTATATGTAAGGCAGTGGATTTATGTAACACATAGATAAAACAGAAATATATTTTGGGGATTATTAAATTCTAATCAGTATGGAGTTAAAAAGAAATGACACATAAATTAGCCTCTCGGAATCTGAATTTCTTACAGCGTCTTTTATGATGGGAATCTCTCCTCTTGCAGTTATAGCATTGCAAGGTCTTTAGCAATAGACAACATTAGTTCTATTGCCATTTCAGATATTCATCTACTAACCTGAGTAAGACTGAAATGGTATATTATGAAAAGCATCAGGGAGTAAAGACAAATCTCATAACACAGTTTCTTACACTCAAGACTAATTGAACAAAACACACAGGCAAACACATACTCGTATGGAAGTTTTTAGCATACTTTAAATTGTTTTGCCAGGATATTGGATTAAAAAATAAACTTCACAGTTAGTAAGATAAGGAATGTTCTGTTAGCTTACATATCACAGTTCTTCATTTGTAGTCAGAGAATAATAAGATTTTTTTACACAATCCAAAGTGATGGAATGGCAGGAGGATATCTTCAGAATTTCCTAAAAATAAATGCATCCTCTCTTGCCCTATCCCACATAATCATTTTAAAGAGACTATCATCTGTGATCAAGCCATGAGTCTTCATAACATTTGACTGCAAATGACCATAATCTTTTGTGTGAGGTGAGAAGAGTTTGACATTGACTTATGTGGTTACCATTAATTTTCATTCACTATTGTTAACTGCATTACCCTTGTCCTTTTCATTGAGATAATCAAAGACTGAATCTAGCTTTAGTATCAGGAAGAAGAAAGGTGTATGTCGTCACTTGACTCAGCCAATGTTTATTCCACAGCAAATGCTGGGATGGATATTACTGTTTCTCTGCCTCAAACATGGGCGCTACTGGACGGATCTCAGAGCAGTGATGACAATAAAATCACTGCCTGGAAGTGGGAGCAACTCAGGTGAATGCACATTTTAATCATGTGTTATATCAGCTCATGTCAGTGCAGTCAGTTTAATCTTTTTAATACCATTTGCCACTGATATGATATGAAAAGGTCATGCAGTTTTAATTGATTTTGCAAGTATTAAGATAGAATGGTTTCTGTAGTTATGAAATACTTCATTATCTGCCACCATTAATGTACTTTTTTTATCTCTTTCACCAGGGAGCAGATACAGGTAGTAATCAGAATGACAGATATAAATGTAATATTGTAACATCATATTGTTTGTTACTGTTCAGTCCACACATTTCTGGTATAAACACACCATGCATTTATGTGTACTATATATTTCAGCCAGAACATAATACAGGGTTACTACAAATGATTCATTCCATTTCAAAACACTATATTTTTCCAAAGTATTACAGACACAAAGATGATTAATACATGGAAAGAACCGTAAACACAACTTCAGATACCACCACAGAATGCTCTGTTCACATGGTGGTTCTTACCTGTGCTCTGCTCTGAATGCATGCTGCACTGAAATAACAGACGAACATCTCACATATTCCAACACACAGAGACTCTTTTCCAGCTTCGTCGCCATTTTGTGAGGCACTGCAATCCTGCTGCCAATTGGTGTATGACGATGCAAACTTGGTGAGTTTGCGGTTCTTTTCATGTATGAATCATTTTTGTATGTTTAATACTTTGGAAAATATAGTGTTTTGAAATGGAATGAATCATTTGTAGTAACCCTGTAGTACATGCAAACACATGGTATGTTTATACTAGAATTGTGTCAAATGAATAATAATAATAAAAAGAATGACAGTATTGGATACTGAGGATGAATGTAATATATGCTGCAACTTCATGAACTTTGTTTGATGATCTCACTAAATTTGGCACTGTATAAAATAATAACAATGTTGTTCTTTTCTGACTGCTTTCATAGAGGTCCCAGTAAAGTGGTGTTTTCTGCTAGCAGTAGTTCTTGCACAAATGTGACTGAACTGACAAAGGGAGAGTATGAGATCCAACTGACAGTCACTGATGATAATCACAACAATGCTAGTGACACAGTTGTGGTCACTGTCACTCAGAGTAAGTTTCTATCTCAGCACTCTGTGCTGCCTTATGTATTCACCAGGCTACGGATACTATTTCTCATATAGTTTGTTTTGTAGCAGAGAATCTGTAAACAAATAACTAATAGAAATGCATGAAGGATGACAGACTTAGTTGTTGCATTACTTATGGGGTAAAGGCATCAGCAATTTACATGGCCTAAGCAAGTGACAGTACCACTACAATATTTTTGTCTGAAAACTGTGTTAGGCACCACTAAGTTAAATAACTTCGTCACAGCCATAAATTGAAAAACAGCTTTGTGCTTAATCTTTCCTATCATGTTTCCAACTAAAAAATTTCATCCTGTGTTATCTATCAAAAGACACATTTACTTATGCTTCGTATAAATTTTAAGTTAAATTTTTTAATTTTATGATGTATTTTGTACCATCTTGCTTTTATTATTTGAGAGGTCCTGACTGAGGTTTCTGTAGTTTTCCCCTGTCCTCCCAAGCAAATGTTGTGATAGCATCTTCCCAATTTATTGTTCCTAATCATTAAAATATTTGACACTATAATTATGTATTAAGTTTAAACCACACTATTAAATAAAACCCAAGAAGTAACCAGTCTGTTCTCTTGACCATGCATTTTGAGGGCTGAAAATACCAACAGTAATATTGTAATCTTTCAAGAAAGAGAGTTAATAAAATTAACCCTCTGTTTAATTTCATGGACCCACATTAGTAATTCAGTTCTGATTGATTGTCATGATGACATTTAATTTTCTTACTCTGTTTCATTCTTATGCTCTTGGCCAAGATTGACCCCAGGACACTTTGCATACCCATGCAGTATAATCAGTATGCCAGGAGTATAATGACAACTAGTCAAGACAAAAGTAGAATATACTCCTGAAATATTATATAGTTTGCATACAGCTGGTATAAATGACAATGCTAAAAGTAATTTACCTTCTTGTTTTACAGATGAGAATGCTAAGCCCAAGGCAGATGCTGGACCAGATCAAATCATTACCCTCCCAATTAGCGTTATCACAGTGAATGGTTCTCAGTCAAGTGATGATCTTGGCATTGTGAAATGGGAGTGGATAAGAGAACCAAGTAGTCTTGCATTTGGGCGAGTCATAGACGATTCTGATCACTCACCCGTGCTGATGGTAACTTGAGCCTGTAGTGATATTGACNGGAGGGTGGAGGGGGGTTCTCAGTCGCGCAACATGTTACACTGCTGTTACACGCGCAACACGTTACAATATATTGTCACGAGTATGGGGGGACACATGATGAAATTTATGGGTTCTCATTCGGATGACTGAATTTAGTAGCACTTCGGTTACAATCTCTCTTAATTACAATTAATATAGTACTGATTTACACAACTTACAGTTCACCATTGTACATGCACTAGGATTCTCCATTTCCTAGTAGCTGATGTGAAGACAGAAACTAGCACTTGAAATCACTATGAAGTCTTCTTGCCATTTCTTGTTTAGTCATCCTGGAACCTCAGAACTCACTAAAACTCTTCTGGGCTTAAGTCAAGTCCCATTCCCATCTTCTCGACACAGACCCCACAGAGAACATGTCATGTGTCTGCGAGTTTATTGGTCCGTTACCAGTGCACAGCCTCCTCTGTTGTTGTGGAGTGTTTACCAAGAAATTATCTTTGCAGGAACTTGTTTATGAACCTGTTGCCTAGCTATGGGTATACATGTAACAATATACCATGCTGAAATGATATCAGGTCTTATCTGAGCCTAGCATATTTTTCATGCTTTCTAAGCTTTTACCACATTCATAAAAAGAAAATGGTGGTTGAAGTTAGATGAAAATGTAAATGGTGTAAATGGGGATCAGAGACACTGATATTATATTTCTGAGCCTGTGTTCATGCTGATCCTTGATAAAGTTACAATGGCTGTGCTATAAATATATTATTTGGTTCAAAAGCAGTGTAGAACGCATAGATGTTATGTTGAAATGGCACTTATTTCTAGGTCTTCCTAGTGGTCTCTTTCCTTCTGGCTTTCCCACTTTCCCACCAGTACTCTATGTGCATTCCTCTTCTTCCCCATGCATGCTGCATTTTCTGCCCATCTCATCCTCCTTGAATTGATCATTGTAATTATATTTGGTGAGAATTACAAGTTATGCAGTTTTCTCCAACCTCTTTCCACTCCATTCATCTTTAGTCCAAATATTTTCTTCAGTACCCTGTTCTCAAATACATTCAATCTGTTGTCACATATTTTAGGGTTGTGACTATTAGACATGTTTTGGATTGGGTGAATTGGATTTCTTGACACCTTATACACAGCACTTGGAACTGCATGTTATTTCAGTACTGCTGCTACTCCGTGCACTTTACAGTTCACAAGGACACACTAAGTCTTCTAAGTCTTCACTAATTGTATCCTGGCAACGGAGTTATAGCAGTCTTATTGTCACTGCAGCACACATAAAGTGTTCTATTCACAGCCTAATCCCTTTATTGCCATTTCTTCTCAATTATTCTGCCAATTGCAAACTCCAATGACTGTCAATTCTAATTCTAGCTGCCTGAGATCCTCATTACATAACCTTGGGGCAGCCCCTACAAAATACACCACTTCCTCTATTGTTGCATGTTGATTCACTGCTGCAGAGATGTATTTAGTGCACCACTGCATAGCAGTGAGTGTGGTGCTGATGACAGAAAACACTGCACTTCTATTGTTGTGTGCATTCGCTTCTGCAAGAATGTGTTTACCAAGCCATTGCCTAGCAGTGAACTGTTCCGGCTCTCAGGTGTCATGTCACACTATGTTTGTCCCTTAATGTCAGAGACCAAGTTCACACCCATACAAAGCTATGGTCAAATTTTTGTTTTGCATATTTTAATTTTTACATTTTTAGACAGCAGATGAGAAGACAAAATATTTTGAACTGAGTGGTGGCAGGCATTACCAGAATTTAATATGCTCTTTATTTCCTCATGAATCAAATTTGATTTATTACTGTCGTTCCCAAATATCTGAACTTTGCCACATTTTCAAAGGATCTATTAGCCATCTGTAAGTTATGATTTTGCACTGCATTCCGGTGACAAGACCTCAACATATACTTCAACTTGTTTTAGACTATATTGAATAGGAAATGTATCAGACTAATGTTTACCTTTATTGACTTTACTATAGGTTTCATTTAAAGATATTTTACTAAACCTAACTAGTTTCATGAGTACTCCAAACACAGTGAGAATATTGTGCAATACTTTTACTTTATTTTTATGTATTTATTTACTTTTCATTCTCATTTCTATGGAATAATATATAATCACTTGCTGTTTCAGTGCCACCCCTCTACCATCTGACTTCCTGTATTCCAACTAATTGTTTGCTGTTTCTCTTTTTTTTTTTTTCATTAATTCATTTATTTACATTCCATGGATCCTTACATGGCTGGAAGACCAGTGGATATAGAAATAGTCGAAGATAACAAGACAAGTCCCATCAGTTATATAGATAAAAATTAATTATACTTAATCTGTAACAATTACAGATATCATCCAAAACAAATCACAATGAGTAAATCATTAAACAATAATAAACTATATATGTCAAAGCATGCAACATACTAATATGAAACAAGACTACAATAATAAGACATAAAAATATACTACTAGGCATCCAGCATATAACAGACCAAGATCATTACTTAATTTTGAAGTTAAAATATTCCAATGAGTAAAATGAATTTAGAAGCAGAAATCTAAATTGTTTTGTGTCATGAGCTAAGTTCTTTATACTAGAAGGAAGATTATTAAAAACCTTGATTCCAAAATAGTATGTTCCTTTTTTGAATATTGTTAAATTATGTATGGGATAATGGAAATTGTTATTGTGTCTTGTATTAATGCTGCAAATCTCAGAGTGAGATTTAAATTGTTCTTTGTTTTTAACCACAAATAACAAGAGAGAAAATATAGACTGTGATTGGAGGGGCAAAATTTTCAGTTTCATAAACAACTCCCTGCAAAAGTCTCTACTTCTAGAATTAGTAATATTTCTAATTACCCTTTCCTGTAGCCTAAAAATATGAATACTATGGGGAGAACTGCCCAAGAAAATTATACCATAAGTCATAACAGAATGAAAATATGAGAAATAAATCATTCTTATTGTTTCCTGTGACATATAAGGTTTAACAGCCCTGACTGCATAAGAGGCCAGACCTAATTTAGACATAAGCCAGTCGACATGTCCTTTCCATGACAACATATTGTCTATAATTAGTCCAAGAAATTCTGTATTACTAACTTTAGCAATCTGATAGTTACCATAGTCAATATGCATATCCACTGGATAGCCAAAAATTTTATAAAACATGTTTTATTGAAATTTTGTGTCAGTAAATTAGCTTTAAACCAATCATTTACGTTCTTAAATATTTCAATAATGTTTTCATAATCTAAAGGGCTGGAATTCATGATAATTATGCTGGTGTCATATGCAAAAGGAACAGGTTTGGATTTGCTAATTATAATGTCTGGCAAGTCATTTATATATAAAAGAAACAATAAAGGTCCTAGAATCGATCCCTGGGGAACGCCATTATTAACTTTGTCCCATCTGGAATGAATATGCCAATTACTGATTTACAGCTCTCTGGTTGCAACTGTTATCATTGAGCCTGCCCTATAGAGACCCCTTACATTCCATTTGCCAGATCCCATGTCCATTTCCCGGGCTAGGCTAATATGCAGATTGTGATGCTGCTGTGAGAACACTAATAGATACCCTTCCTTAGCTCACAGATGTAATCCCTGGCCGCTATGTCTTTCGTCTACGCGTTACTGATGAACAAGGTGCAACAGAGGAAGACACCGTCTCCGTCATTGTCAAACGTGGTAAGCGATGCAAGAAGTTACATAAACAAAAGCAGTATTCTACAGGAGTATAAATATTTAATCTGTTCATCTGTATTATATTTAATTAATGTTTGTATTTAATTCTGATATTTGTTAATTGCTTTATGTCTTCATCTGGACTCGTGGAGTTTCCTCCACCACCTGGAAAACTGCTGAAGCCTAATTGCTACTTGCAGTTCATGCCTTTGTTAGCTGAGCAGTGGTTAGTTTCATAGAAAATGCACATTACCACTTTTGGATTTTCCCTGTCACTTGGGATTTTGTCATTTTATGATATTTCTCTGTTGGGTTTTTCTTGTGGTTAGCAAGTCATGATCACTGATCTGACTGATGTAATTCAGAACCACACAATTATATGTGTTATCAAGCAGCGTCTGTTAGAATTGTCTGTTGTACATGTATATGTGGTCAAGTTACATTGGATGGTCAGACCATCTGCTAGGCCTGAATATCAGAGCCTTCCAGCTGGTACCTGATGTAACTCTGAACGAATCCTAAATCTCACATAATCACTATCCATCCAGTCTATTGGCACATCGGTCAGATCTACAGAAAACACAGCTTCCCCTGTTGCTGTTTGTTGGACCATGTTTACAGAGCTGCTGCCTGGAAACATGTTGATCAAATCTGTTACAATATAAATTCGATTGCTATGGTTTCATCTGCATTCTAACGGTCGGCTACTGTAGTGGGTATAATGAATTTCTGGATTCCATTACTGAGGTGAAAGGGAGTTAGTAAAAGTATAATAACTTACACATTCCGGGACAGTTCATAATACACGTACTTCTGTAAATACCTGTTTATGTGATGTGATGATTCTATCATATGCCTGGTTCACAGATCCACATTTGTACCATCTAGTTGAACTAACACTAAACATAGAGGGCCGTTGGCTAACAAAGGCCCAGGAATCATCCCTGGAGATGAAGCTGTCATTGCTGCTGCGTGATGAAGCAGAAATACATGTGCGTGAACTGCGCACAGAAGATCGCACAGGCAGGGCAGTCATTGTGTTTTATGTGGAACAGAAGAACAGCAAAGGCGTGTTGCCCGGACCAACTGTTGTTGCAAGACTGAAGGAGAAGCTCATGCAGGACTCTTTACTACTGGAGCTCTCTGTGGCCAACATCCAGACCGTCATATGCCAAAACAATTGCTCAGGTGTGTGGAATGTAGTACAGGTTGGATCAGTCTGCAGTCTACTTACCAGAAGTTTCCTGTAACACAAGGATATATTCATAAAAAGTCACACACTGTTAAACTTTTTTTGTGTAACATACGGGATTTGTATCGACAGTCCAATCAATAAGTAACATGTTACATGCTGAATAAGTGGAATTTTATTCTTGACAGGAGTAGAAATGTTTCTCTTCAGCACTATATGCAGACTAGGTATTTCACCCACACAGCCTTGTATCCAATAGTGCTGAATGTTCTTTCTCTAGGGATATATCAGCTGGATTGTGAAGGTGACCACTCACCTTCATCTAACACTGAGGTCTATAATGTACCCATCTTTCCTATATGCCTCCATGTCATAGTCTAGATACAGGACACTTTCCCCTTACTATATTATCTTTATCTTTTTATGTATCTAACAACAAACCAATGCTCATACATTTCCCACAGTGTGCTTACATATGTGCAAAAAAATCTATATTGTTTTTAAGTACAAAATTTGAGAAAAGTTATTCTTACATCACATGAGTAAATAGGGGATTTATCTTGTGAATGTGTTATTCTGGATTATGTCCTACAGGCCATGGCGTCTGCGACCAGGTCACTCGGCAGTGCCTCTGTGAGGCATTCTGGATGCAAAATCTCATCACAAAACACCTTGGAAGTGGTGACGCAAACTGTGGTGAGCTTAATATTACATGGCAGTCTCTTGTGGATAGCAGTATCCTGATGGATCGGTCTAGAGAAATGAACACATACTTAGTGATATTACAATAAAAACAACATAACCATCCACAGGTCTATATATTTGCAAGGTCTAATTACAAACAGTACCCCTTACAAGACCAGTTCAAGGGAACTCCTACCCCCCCAGATACCTGTTCCCCAAACATTCTTACAAGGTACATTTCCATACAGCACTCCCTCCAACTTATACCCTCATACTCAGACCTGTTTCAGAAGAACTACTTCTCTCAGTTACTGAATGCACATAAGGTCAGAGATGTTAGATAGAGAGAAATGCATACAGCTGAGCCATAAGTACCTGATCCTAGATATTTTGAGGTTGAAATTGCTGTTGCAAAGTTGAAAAGGTATAAATCACCAGGTAGTGATCAAATTCCAGCAGAACTGATTCACACAGGAGGTGAAATATTACATTCCAAGATCCATAAACTAAATAATTCTATTTGGAATAAGGAAAAATTGCCTGATTAGTGGAAGGAGTCTATTGTTATAGCAGTTCACAGGATGGCTGATAAAACTGACTGCAGTAATTATTATGGGATATCACTGCTATCAACTTCATACAAAATTTTATCCAATATTCTTCTCTCAAGGTTAAGTCCAAACATAGATGAAATTATTGGGGATCATCAGTGTGGGTTTTGATGTAATAGATCAACTACTGAATCAGATCGTTCACGTTCGTCAGATACTGGAGAAAAAATTGGAATACAATGAGACAGTACATCAGCTGTTCATAGACTTCAAGAAGGCCTATAATTCTGTTAGAAGCGAAGTAATGTACAGTATTCTCATAGAGTTTGGGGTACCCATGAAACTAGTTAGGCTCATTAAAATGTGTTTAAACGAAACATATAGTAAAGTCTGTACAGGTAAACATTTGTCTTACAATTTTCCTATCCAGAATTGTCTAAAACAAGGAGATGTTTTATCGCCACTGCTCTTCAACTTTGCTTTAGAGTATGCCATTAGGAAACTCCAGGAAAAACAGGTGGGATTGAAATTATATGTGACACATCAGTTCTTGGTCTTTGCTGATCATGTGAATATAATAGAGAAACACACAAACTTTAATTAGGAGATTGGTCTAGAAGTAAACACAGAGAAAACTAAGTACATGTTGCTATCTCATCACCAAAGTGCAGGGGAAAACCATGACATAAATATAGGCAACAGATGTTTTGGAAATGTGGCACAGTTCAGATATTTTGCAATGACAATAACAAATCAAAACCTGATTCAGGAGGAAATTGAGAGGAGATTGAACTTGGGTAATGCTTGCTACCATTCAGCCCAGAACCTTTGTCTTCCTATCTGCTGTCCAAAAACATAAACATTAGAATATACGTACAAACTGTAATTTTGCCTGTGGTTTGGTATGTGTGTGAAACTTGGGGTCTGACATTAAGGGAGGAACATAGATTGAGGGTGTTGAGGAGAATATTTGGACTGAAGAGAGATGAAGTGATGGGAGGTTGGAGAAAACTACATAATGAGGAACTTCATAAATTGTACTCTTTGCCAAGTAGAATTAGAATGATCAGGTTAAGGAGGATGCCATTGGAAGGGCATGTAGCATGAATGAGGGAAGAAGAGGAATGTATATAAGATATTGGTGGGAAAGCCAGAAGGAAAGAGACCACTAGGAAGACCAAGTTGTAGTTTGGTGGATACTATTAAAATGGATCTTAGAGGCAGAATGGGATTGGATTGATCTGGCTCAGGATAAGGACATGTTGAGGGCTCTGGTAAACATGGTAATGAACCATCAGTTTCCATAAAATGCTGGGAAGTGCTTGAGTGGCTGCACAGTTGGCACCTTCTCAAAAAGGGCTCAGCTCCATGGGTGAGTGAGTACCCTCTGTCATATTTTGATTAAGTGTGGTGGCACAGTGATTAATGAGAAAATACAAACCTCATTTGGCAAGATAACTAAATTTGACTTCATGACTGCACATACAGGTAATACACATATTTGTAGTGTTGTTTTTGAAAGTTTCAGTTACTGTGTGATCAGTCAGGTCTCAGCAGAGTACCAAAGTGACATGTAAACCAAAAAAGGAAAAGGACCACTGGCCAGTGTTGCACAAGTATACTGTGTGATTGATAATTTCTGTACATATGTTCTATTGGACCACATTTCAGATTGGAGCATCCTGTATGTCGTAATTGTGCTGTTCACCAGTGTTTTTCTGGTGGTTGGGTGTGGCTGGGGAATCATGTCTCTATGCCAGCGTGCCTGTGCACGCCGGCCACACAAGCGTCAGCGCTACTCACTCCTGGATGAAGGTGAGGATGATGCTATGATTCCCAGAGGTAAGGCTCCACTTCAGTCATGTGCATTTCATACCTACATGGTACTTAAATTCATAATGTTTTAATTTCTGTTTTATTCTGTTATGTTATTCGTTCAGAAAGTTTTGTCATCACTTTCAGAGTTGAACATAACTGCAGTAATTTCCCCCTAATGCTAAAGATAATCCTTTTCTGTGTACTCAACAGTATCACATGGAAAGATGATGATGTCAGAGTCTGATTCTGACTCTGATGTCTTGTTTGAAAGCCGGAAGTGCAGGCAGAATGGAGATGCCCGGAATGGACATGGAAAAATCCGCAATGGTTTTGTAAAGCCAGGGCGTCGGATCAAAACATGAGGCATTTCAATGCTATATATATATATTGAGCTACCTGAATGAGATGGAAAGAAGCATTTAATTGGAAAGTCAGAAGGCACACCAGGAACCCAAATGTCCAGTAAACAAAATGGGAATCTTGCTGAAAGTCCAGCCTATATGGTTAAGTATTTTTATTGTTATGTTATATTGATGTTTCCCTGGTTACAAAGTTTGCTACTGGTTCATATTTATATTTTATTATCATTGTCAATTTATGTGTTCATGAAACATCGACTGTTAATGTATCTTATATTATGCAGATGAAAATTTGATATATATATAGGTGTTTCACAAAATAATTCCAGATTTCAAATTTAAATATTTACTGCATGTGAGAAGAGAAAATTGTGACATGAAAATAACATCAGTTTTTTATGTCAACCCCAAATTTAGAAATTATGGCTGTTTACCATTCCAGATATTAGAATATTACTTCATCAGAAAATACAACATTGCTTAGATAGTCCTTGTCTTCGTATGTTTTTGTAACATCACCCAATTTTTTAGCCTCCCCATTCATCTGATCTCAGTTCATTAGATTTCATAGTTTGGGGTAGAGTGTTGGACAAAGTGTAGAAAATTTAAATAGAAATGTCAGAAGCTTCACTTACAGTTAACTCAAGTATGTTAAAGTACACATGTAACAGCTAAGTTACAGGTTAGCTATATGATGAACTGCAGGCACAGTTCATATCAGAATAATCCACATAGATGACTTGTTTTGGAATTTCATTTTTGATAAATATTTAAATTTCAATTACATGGACTATTTGTGAAAAATTTGTATATATTACAAAGAGTTTATACTATATTTTGATTAGGGGCTCCTCTGTAATGGAGCTCTTGCATTTATTCAGCACTTGCTTTCCATCTTGATGAATTTCATATTCACTTCATTTTTTATATGTAAGACTAATGCACATAATATTGGTCACAATATCACAGATGGATTACAGGTTGTTAAATTGATATTGCAATTCTAAATTTGTAAGCAATGCCATTATAAGTTCTAGCTTGTCTAGGTATCACACAATAAAGAGTCAGTGGCTGGAAATGAAACAGAATTTATGTCTAATAACATGCACATTATAGTTTGCTGCAATGAGCAAAGAATGGAGATGATTTCTGTCAGACTAGGGAAGAGACTATAAGTGTGGACTGGTTTAACATTTGAGGCATGTCAAGGAATTGTTCTTTTAACTTCCCCCTGTGATCTGTTGAGTTTTTCATTCTTGTTTTGTCATGGAGGCTGGAACCCTGGAAAGAGGCATTATACTTTAATCTGTTAATTTCTCAGCATAAAGCCCACATGAAGTCTGAACATACAGAATTACGGGATTTTTGGACTTTACCTCAGCTGGGCAAGTGCTGTTTTCTAGTTTCATTATAAATTCAGTATTGTACTGACTTTGCCAGACACAAGTTAGGTCTCGAGCCTTCAGGCTTACAGTTTGTTTGCTGCCAGACTTACGTCAGTGCAGTAGCACTCCTGCTCACCTTTATAATGAACCATGTTCAGCAAGCTCTCACAGTTATAATAAAAATGACACAGCATATAAAAGTGAAATTGGAAAATACAGTCCTAAGAAGAAATATTTTGTGTCGTTAGTTTTTTGGCAAATTGTAAGTGGATGTAGAGAATTACATATGTTTTAGAACTGGGTACATAAAATAATTTTTTACATACAGTACACAAGAATATAAAACGTTAATGATGACAAGTTATTCAAATTTGATGCTTATCTAAGCCAACAGGACATGGGAAATTGTATTATTAAATTCTCATTTAGGAAGACTCAGTTCTGTGTAACCAAAGTCATTATCATTGGCAAAACTGCCCCTTTTCAGCCCTCCTTAGAAGATTTTGCCTGATTTGATCCAGTTTTCGCTTCTATGAATTTTGCAACAATAGTATTTTTACAGAGCAAGATTGTCAACCTTGCTGTAAATAAAATAAAAAAGAAAGCAGTCCAAAATATACATGTAGGTGGTCTGAACTAGTGAGGTTTTACTGCATTTAAAGTTGATATCTCTTAAAATAATTTATTTTTGACTACTTTAAGTGGATTCCCTCATTTGGTAAGTATGGCATGACCATAATCTGGTAAACAAAAAGGATGAGTTGAGATCCCAGTTGACAACTTTTTCCCATGTTTTCAATCTGTAACATTCCTTCAGTTGCATTAAAATATTATGTTTGAAAACATGAAGCAGAGTACACGAAGGCTTTGAGTCATACCATCTCTTATTGAATTACTGTCCCCCAGGTTTTATTTGCTTACATATTTACATGTCTTACATTCAACTTCATATAAACAAAAACTAACATCACTGCCCTAACAATAAACATATGTCAGCATCAGTATCAATTTTTCAGACACTAAAGGCAAATACTGAAGATAAATGTATAATCATTTCTCTGTGTATATTTTTTTTTACTCCTTTTCTCAGTGAAAAAACATTTCTACTTGTTTTAATGACATTTAGAATTGTTAAGCTAATTCAGTGTCAAGTGATAGGATGAATAGTGAATAACGAATTGTAAAGGATGTACAAGGAAGTGGTTGTGGCCTAATTTAAGGCACTGTCCCAGCATTTGCCTTAGAGGATTCGGGAAAACCCCTAAAAAACTCAGACAGCCAGTTTCTGGGATAAGATTTGTATCTGGGACCTCCAAAATACAAAGCAGGAGCGATAACCATTTACTGCGATACAAATATTATGTTTCTGGACATTATCCAACATTCTCTTTTCATCTAAAATAATGTCAAGAAACAATATTTGTCTAATGTACCACTGTCACAAACTTTTAGATCTTATTTACTGTGATGTTTCGTCAAGAAAGAAATGTATGCTAGTTGTTCATTAACTTACCGCAGAGCAGTCTATGTTGAATTTATGGTATACAAATTGGCAATGAGGTGAGTTAATGTTTGAATCTTTCAATTTTCAAAAGCTCCATACTCATGCATGGTCAAAATTGTGGTGTGGAACAAGTCTGACCAGCTGGCAGATCATCACATCCTTGCTTATTAGCTTCTGATCTGTATCTGGTCTGGTACCTAGGCTAGAAGCAGAGTTAAGTTCAGTTTCACTCACTAATTTGTCATGAAATATATAACTCACTGACAGTGTTAACGCTTTCAGTGCAGGGTCTGAGCAAAATTAAAAAGGCACTCATAAGAATAATTTCTGTGCACAAGATAAGAAGTACCTTCATAATGACTGCGTATTTGGAAAAACATTATCTAAGTATCAGGTATGATTATGGTAAATCTGCCTTTTTAGTCCTATCTATATAATGACAGGGAAAGGTGAATTAATCCTTTCTTGTTACATGGGTGATTTTTATGTAGGAACACCAGACAGTTCTGCTGTGTTGTTTAATGACATCAGTGACAAAATACAATTAATGCCGTTTCTTTGTTAAAATATTTGTGACATTTCCTCAGCAAGCATAATGCCTTAAGTTACCAAGGATGCTAAATATAAACATTCCAGACTACAACCAGCCACACCAGTTCTTCGTCATGTCATTGACGTCAATAGCCAGTCCTCATCTACCGGTTTTTCTTGACTACCGCACTTCCTAGTGCTATTGACCTCAAGTTCCCTGTACTCACTGGCCGTTCCCCCCTCCCTTAGTCACACACCATATATGGTCTTAATCGCTCCCCACTGCTCCCATTGGTCCGTTCTCCCTAACC